TATTAAATATTATAATATTGAAATAGTAATATATTCATACAACAAATGAATATTATTTATCATTAAAATCTTATAATAATTATTTGATTTAAATATTTAATAATTTTATATAAAATTTTAAATTTAATTAAATTTAACTATTATATTTACTTTATATATATATATATATATATATATATATATATATAAATTGTTTCAAAAGTTAATAGAAATTTACTTCTTACTTATCTAATATTTTCTTTAATTTAATCATTTCTTTCTCTATGCTTTTTATCTCTGTATATCATATGTTTATGAGAGTGAATAATTATAGCAAAAATAATTATAAAAAATAACATTGGTATGCTATGTAATGAAAACAATGAAAAGTTAAAGATAATTATAAAATTATTTTAAATTATATTTCCCAAAACCTGTATTTAATAATGATTAGTTATATGTTGAATTGTTTTGATTAATGTTAATAGAAAGAATAAAAATCATTATTGTTAAAGAAGATAAAAAATATATAAAATATACTAACGGAGGTTGATCTAAGTGGCAAGCGACTTGGTATCGCTTAAATAAAGTCTTGTGTTTGAGTTCTTGTATATGCAAGAAATCTCTAGTGGTAGATTCACCCACCACATCTAGGTGCACAATTCAGGTAGGATTTAATTTATTACAGTTTCCTTTTAAATGCTATATTTAATAAATATAATATATACTTCAATATTATTATAATTATAATATTAAAAAATTATTTTTATTATATAATTTAACATAAATTTAGTTTATAATGATTTTTATAAAGTAAAAATACAAAAAATATATATAACTAAATATATAATAATTTATTTCTTATTTTTAAATAATTCACATATGAAAATATACAAAATAATATTTTATTTACAATAGAATAATATTTATCAAGAGTATAAAACTCTATAATTAATATAAATATGAAAAATTAAAATTTATAACCTATGTATCGTCACTTACTAAATTATATGGTAGTAAAAAATCCAAATGTTAATAATTATTCGTAACATTATAGAGTAATTAATTATATAATTATAAATGATTATAAATGAGGCATCCTTTTATTATTAATAGTTTCATCTTAATTGTTTTGATGTAATATCACTTTATTAATGGTATGTAAAATTTAGAGACTAAAAAAAAATAAAAATTCTAAAGAGAAACAAAAGTATGCGTTATATATATATAATGTACATCTACACATATGGGTAATCATGTCTAAAAATAGGTAATATTATACAAACCTCCTAAATTTTTCTAGATTGTTCAAATATATTACAAATTAAAGAAAAATGAAGGTCTAGTAAAAAAGTCCTAAGCATACATAATTTTACATATAATTATTTCTAATAGTTTACTCTTACTTAATCCTCTAACCTATTTGGAGGAGGATTGTCATGAAGGCCTAGGTAATCTGTTGTGTATTACGTGAAAAAGGGAATTTCAACCCTAACAGAACTTTACATAACTGTGGGAGCAACGTGATAATTGTTAATATAAGTAATTGCTGATATAACATAACTAATAAAGATAATGGTTTGATTAACAGTGTTATAACTCCAACTTCCAATCCCCAGATTAAAGATCATGTTTTTCTTAGGTATAATAGATACACCCAAAGCTCATTTTTCACCCATAACATAGTTAATAGATACAAAATAAAGAAAGAGTGAGTAAATCATTAATAAATTATGTAACACCTTAAAATTAATTTTAAAATATTAATTTTGCAAAATAGAAATAATAAAATTTCATTTTTAAATAAGTTTTTCCAACCCGTGGTTCAACAAAATATTTTGAATAATAAGTGTTTACAAATTTTGATCAAGAAAACTGCTACAGGACTAATTCAAATACATTAGAATTTCAAAATAAAATCAAAGCCATAGTAGTCTCATCCATTCTTTCATTGAATCCGGTGCTAATCGTCTTAGTCATCTAAAAAATAAATGTAAGGGCGAATACTTTATACTATCTAACACACACAAACATAGAGACTCACCTTGGTCACCTTTCACATAGTTTCTAACACAGTCATACAAGTAAAATCAATCACAAGCAGCATTTCATTTCAATTCATGACCAATGCACTCATGACACCAAACATTTTACACGCGTGCACTCACTGCATGCAGCCACGCTCACTGTGGTACTGTAATTACAGATTTACACCATGGATGGTTACCAGTTACCCCTGCCTCACGAATACCACATGGACAGTCACGAGTCGCTCGATAAAGGTAATGGTCAGAGGTCTAGTCAGGAGGAGAGTGTGTGTCTCGTGGTGCACCTACGTTCACTGTTGGTGTCACCACCACTCTCTCTTCTCCAAGATATTTCTACCGTTCCCATCTTTCACACCTCCAAAGTATCACTGAACCATTCATAGCATCATTACAATAGCGTTTAACACGCCTATTCACACACATTTCATTCATAGCACATGGCACAGGGCCCATAGTCATTCACAGCACTCAGCACATATGCCCTCATTCCATTACATAACATTTACAACATAATTTACATTCATCAATGACAGGTACACTCACTCATTCATCCATATTTGGCTCAATCATTTCACTCATCACATTCAACATCAATTCCTCGTCAAAATATACTCATAATAGATTTCAACATTGTCAAAATCATACCCAATCATGCATTATCTATTGAAATACGCTAGTCCACACATCCAATCTCAATCACATTATGAAAACACAACAATCAAATGGATCCTCAAGCAAATAAGATAGGGTAGAGTCTCCCTTACTTCGGATTGAAGACTCACACACGAATCAATAATAAAAAGGAACCGCCACACGAATTTCACCCCTAAAACACATGTAAACCCCATGAGAACTCAAGGAGAACCCAGAAAACAAAGAAGAGGGACGAAAACCAAAACCCTAACCATTAAAACTCACCTCCAAGCGTTCCCAATACAAATCCAACCTTCAATTTAACTCACGAACGACTTTGGAGACAATTTAATTGGTGAAATATGGTTTTGGGTTGAGAGAATCAAAGAGATTTTGAATGGGGAGATAAGAAATGAATTTCCTCAACCCTAACCTCTTCAAATACCCCTCTGCTCGCAACACTCTCGCTATAGCGAGACACTCTCGCTGTAGTAAGACATCTCTGGCTGCAGCGATACCCCCGTTGCTACAGCAAACATATCAAAGAAAATTGCATCCTAGTTTCTGTAGATTCTCGCTACAGCAAGCCTCTCACTACAGTGAGACCTCTCACTATAGTGAGACTGCACCCAGAAATGCACTACAAACTGTTACTTTGTCGCTACAGCGAGGGACTTCTCGCTACAGTGAGAAGGCGACAGTTTCATGCCTTCCTCCCAGGGCCCTCTTGCTACAGCGAGAGATCTCTTGCTACAGCAAGAACACCCTGCACCAAACACTTAGCCAAATTTTCAGTCTAGTTCCAAACATACATATATATTCTCATTACCATACATACATATATCCTCATTACAATATATATTTACATATATATATATATATATATATATATATACATATATACACATATTTATAATAAATACACAACACATGAAAGTCCACGTAAACACTTATATTAATAATAAAACTATATTATAAAATTTGAGGCGTTATAAATTATATCATAAGACAATACTAATTACTTAATGAATAAAATATAACTAATGACTCAGTAAATCAAACAAACATTGTAATGTCTTTTAGTTGTATTTTCTCCAAGTAATTAATTATTCACTTCTTTAATTTTTGGGTTTACACTTTAACTAATCCTTGTATGCTCTAATGCTTGTCAAGATAGTTTAGCTTATTTCTCACTGCTTGTGACAAAAATTAGCTAAGTTTAGTATCTTGCTAGGAATTAGGTACTTTTCTATTTCCTAGAGTCACATCAACATTATTTGTCCCTTACCCGTACTTGGCATTTTCAACCTCTTTTCTTATGAATTAATTCACAATTATATCACAAATTATAGCCATCAACTTGTCCATTTGGTACATCATAATCACACATCCCTTAAACAAGATAACAATTCATATCATGGACATAACTATTTTTAAATTTTTCTAGATTTCATACACCAACTTGTAAAATTTATAACTAAATTAGTACAAGTCTAAATAATTGTTCAAATTTGAGGGTCACAGGTCATTCTACTAAGAACAAACATTTTTAACAGGTTACAAGATTTTACTTTTCCCATAACAACGAGTTAGAAAATTCATATCTTACTCATTTTAAATTCAAAATTGATGAAGCCAATGGGAATATTTCTCTATGTGAGTCCTTTTTTTAAAAAAAAATATAATAACTATTTAAACACTTACAAAGTCTTGCATGTAACACAATTTGCCTTTGCAGGTTATAGAGTTCCTTCTTTCTAACAACCACTTGGTATAAAAATCATAATTAATTTATTTTAATTCAAATTTTAGTGAAACAAGTAAAAAATTACTCCTTATATATTTATTATCTTAATTAAATACCTCTGTAAATTTTTGCAATAAAATTTTCTCCAAACACCCTTAATTATATATTTTTTATATATATTGTCTGTATTCTAATATTTTAAATTCTTTTATATTTATGTCATTTTATATCATATTTAATATTCATATTTATTGGTATAAAAAATAAGGATAAATTTATGGTGATTGAAAATAATCTATCATGATACCACAATTATTATGAAAGAACTAAATTATAATTATAACATAATTTTTTTATCATATATTTAATTTTATGAACTTTTAAAATTTGAAATATCGCTGTGAAAATATAAAATAACTGTCATATTTATGTCATATTGTATGATATCTAATACTCTATTAGTATCCTTGCTAACATAGTTTATCACGGCTTAGTGCTTACGAAAAATGACAAAGATCGCCTAGATCACTGTCCATTCATGGTTCATTCTTGGCCACAAATTCAACATTCCTTTAGCCTAATCCTTTAACGAAATCCAATTAGAAAATGCAGTCTCCAAATTATCTTAAGGATAGTACGTACACTCTATCCAGTGTGCGCAATACCCGTCTTTGGTTGAAGAAAATGAATCCAAAGGCTTCAAGCTTTGTACGCGCTCTTGTATTGCTGAATTTTCTTTTCTTCAGTTCAATTGCAGCTAATAATATTTCAAAATCTACTACTCCACCGCCCTCTGTACCGCAGAAGGAGGGAAAATGCCCCAAAGATACACTCAAGTTTGGTGTTTGTGGAAGTTGGTTAGGTTTGGTCACTGAAGTCATTGGGACTAAACCAAGTGAGAAGTGTTGCACCCTCGTAAAAGGTCTCGCAGATCTGGAAGCAGCACTATGTTTGTGCACAGCTATTAAAGCCAAAGTGCTGGGAATTGTCAAAGTCGAAATGCCTGTTGCTGTTAGTTTACTTGTTAATTCTTGTGGGAAGAAGGTTCCATCTGGATTTGACTGTGCTTAGAAGTCAGAAATGCTGTCTCTTTTTTCTGTCTTAGTTGCTTTCAGTTAAATTATATAAAATGTAGATGGACTTTTGTTTGGGAGTGTAACTTAGCATGTTGAACTGAAAATTTGATCAATTATTTATAATTCCTTTGGGTGTTTACTGCCCATCAAATTAAATCTGGCACCTGTTATGAAGAAAGATCTAATCATGTGGTTCTTATACTCCAATTTTGCAGGGGCTAATGATGTGCAAACATTTTAGTTAATGTCTGTAGTTTGGTTAATAAAAAATTTGTCAACCAAATTCTGCAAGTAAATAAAAAAAATTTAGAGTTAAAATGTCCAAATTTAGAGTTTTATATGCGAAGATCATATTGTTAGCCCCGAACTCACCGTGACTTCTGGTCGCCTAATCATTTTTCTTATGGGATTCCGAAACTTCGGGAAATGTAAAACTGTAGTTTGTTGCTTTATTATGGTTCCTTCAACCTTTTCTATTAGTTCGATGTCCTAAACAGCAATATGCCGCAATTACAAGGTGAAAGATAGACGGGCGTTAAATAAGGCTTCAAGTTGAAATTTTGTGAATGAAAATTAATTGTTAGGAAATTTTATCATGCTATGGATGTTTTCAGATGGAATAGTATTACCTAGAAAGCCACCTACAGTGAAGAGAAATGTAAAATTACCTCAATATAATTTTATTTGCTAGTTGTTCTTAATTGGCTGAGATTAGATGTAGGTTGGAACCATAAACTTGAGGTGTAGTTGCTTTCTATATAGCCAGGATTAAATGTCGCAAGAAGAATTCCATTTTCACCGATAGATAGATCACTTCAAAGGTAATGTGAGTGACACACTAAAGAAAATGTCATTTATTAATTGTTAGTATAGCCTTTTTTTTAATTAAACTTAAACTATTAATATACACATTATAAATTGATTCAGAGTATTACTGATTTAGAAATTAAATTTTAAATTGGTTCAAAGTCACACCGCAATTCCACCACTGCATTCCTTGCGATCTTAAATCACTCAACACCTCATCATAATTAAAAAATGAGCCTTGACTTCTCAAAATTTGAAAGAATCGATTACGGCAGGTTTTAATAAATGAATCTTAATAACTAAATTAATAAAAATAAATGCTTGTAAAAATCTTACATCTTTTAAATAATGAGTAATAAATAATTTAGATGAATAAAGTTAGGAATTCATAGAAAGAGACAAGGCTAATGATCTAAAAACCCTTAGTGAATGTACTTGAGAGCACTCATATCATATAGGTATATGTCAATCTCTTTTAAAACTATTTGAATAGTTGAACATGAGAAGTTGATATTAGATTTAAGGTCACACCTGAGTGCGTGATATAAAACAAGATAGGATATTGCGCCTGTGTGCACAATATAGAGATTAAGCTTAAAAAATAAATGAATTATTCACATAACAATGGGTATCTATATCTCTCCCACGTAAAAAGGAAGTTATTGTATCACAATGTGATGTGAGGTGCATGATATGGAGAGACGATGACCTGTGGTGTAATTAGAATTTAAGCTTCTCAAATAGTTTTATTAGTGACCTTGGAAAAGGGCTATGAGTGTGAGTCTTCGCATGGTGCTCTTTTATCCCTACTTGCTTAAGACATATCATAATGATGGAGCTAGTTGTAACATTTAAAGGTTGGAGCCCTCACCATTATATATAAATATTTGCTTGACTAGTAAAACTTCTAACAATTTTTGAGAATCAAAATAGATCCAAGAGTTGCATGAGCATGATACATAATTTTAGGCCAAACAAAATGTTAGCATATGCATTAGCCTCATGCATCATGATCTTGCATTGAATTGGAAATGTATGATGTGTGTGCTTATGAATGGATGAATGAAATTTATTATATAATATTACTAAGTTGATTTTTAAGAAAACCAAGCTTTTGTATTTATATTTTATCCTATTTATTTTTTCTTCTTTTTTGAGTCCTAACTATTTTTATGAGTATTTGAAAAGTCTCACTCTTCTCCTTTATTTTTGTTTTGTAATCTTCGATGTTGTGTCTAGGAGCACATACAAGGTGCAAAGTGGTATGGGATGCTTTACACCTTGTTTGAATGTTATGTGAGTCTCTAGAACTACTACGGAAGAAGGTATGATAAGTTGCTTGTAACTTGAAAGTGTATTTGCTTGAACTATGTTTACGATAGATTTTGTAAGAATGATTTATTGAGATAAGAATAGGAATTAACTTGAATTTTGTGTTAAAAAAAATTGACATTTCAGTCATTAGAGAAAGGTCATTACATTTAATTAAATCAAAGCAATTCGGTCTAACCATACTAAGAGTTTAAGATAGGTAGGCACATTTAGTTGTCATGGTCCTAGAGTGGGTGACTCGTGAACATTAGAATTTTATTATTCTTTTGAGCATTAATTACTCTCCCTTTCGCTATCTCTCTCTCTCTATATATAGGTCTTTCATATGATATCAATTCTTCTTAATGCTTATGTTGATGCATAAGCTATTCAACGTATAAGGATATGTTTAACTATGAAAACTCAAGACCTCATGCAAGCATGGTCTAATTGTTCCGTTTACATAGTAATGATTTAGATCAAGAATTTATTATCCTTATTATATCTCTCAAGATGACCAAATACATTCAGGATCTCTCCTCCTAAGAATCTTTCAAGTTCTATGACATCTCCTTCTTGTAGTAGGCTTGATCCCATCAATACACAACCTTCGTGAGAAAATTTAAGTTTAGACATATTAGCATTAGAAGGAAAAATTTTGATTGACATGGGTGGGCCATGACTAATTATACAATAGACAACCTAAGAACCATAACCAAAGTGAGAAGACTTGTGAGTACAGTATGAGATGCCAAGGAAAGTATTAGTTGTAGAAAAATTAAGTTTTAAGATTTGAGCAAACATAAGTGTTAATAATAATTGCTCAAGATAAGGAAAATGGAATTCTAATCAATAGAAATTGAAGTTAGGAAATGTAACAACCTTTTTTTTTTCTTAATAACTTTAATTGTTATTATTTATTATTAGATTGTGTTTTAAATTGAAAATGTTTGAACGATGTTATATGTAGAGATTTTGCTCAAGCGAGACTGAGTGTTCTAAACCTGGTGTTTTAGAGCATTGTCGCTTAGGCGATATGAGTCTCTCCCAAGTGAAATAGAATAAAGTTGCTCCAACTGTCATGTCTAGAGTTTTTGGTAAACTAACTACACAATCTATTGAAATACTATCATATTTCTATTCTGGTATGTCTAGGGGTGTTAAGAATCCTACATGTCTCTGATGTTCTATTTTGACCTTTTGACATATTAAGTAGGTTGACACAAAACTAGCCACATCCTTTCTATTCCATTCTACCATAAAAGTCTCTTGAGATCTTTGATACATCTTGGTGGTTTCTGAGTGTATACTCATTTGCTTTTATTTGCATCTTTAAGAATCATTTGCCTAATGGTTTTTATCCTTAGGTACATATACTCTACCTCTAAATTTTAACAATCCACCACTTTCTTTCTCAAAATTTTGTACTTTCTCTCCTTCTATTTGTTTTTCAATATCTTGAAGATACTAATCAACTTTTTGAGCATCTCTATTTTGGTTCTGCAATTTACTAGTCACCTTTATCATTGATAACTGCACTTTTTCTTTTCCTCCATTAATATTCAAGTTTAAATCCCTAAACTTTTCTAGTAGTTTGCTTCCCTAATCATTAAAGAAATGCAAAAGATTCTTTATATATATGGTATAAGGAAGCTAATGTATACTCTAGTTTGTATGTGTACAAATATTGCTACATTGTTGGTATGCTTAACAAATATTTAAGTAATCTTATAATTAATTATTGATAGCAATCATCACAGTTATGGATTATTTGAAAAGAGCGAAGAATTACATGTTTAGATATCTTAAATTAAATCATTACAATATATTTGGATATTTTGAATCTAATGATGAATATTAAAATAGAAAAAGATCTACATCTAGATATATAAGCTAAACGAGAGATTTTAGATATTACTGTATCGGCCTACACATATTATTAATTATGTATTATATATTATTTATAAAAGTGATTTTATAATGATAAATTTATTGAAATCTATAACAATTTGGTATGAATTTTACTGTGTGTAAATCCTTTTAAGTTTTATTTGTAATTTAACTATAGGTCAAATTAAAAATAAAAAAAATTAATACTTATCTCTTCATAAAAAGATATAAAATTAAAAGATATTATTATTTATTAAAAGTATTTGATTATTATAAAAAAGTTATAGTACACGAGTCAAATGCATAATTTCTTTTTCTAACATCTTGTAATAAGTAAAATTCAAAATATGCGTAAGAATTTGAAACATCAAATAACTAAAATTTCTTCTTCAAATTATTTTTTCATCTTGTAAACACAATTCATAATGGGCATGCACGATTTTCATCGATGCATTTTACAAAGACTGTCTGGTGAAATTAAACTACTTGTTTAGAGAGAAAAAATTCAATGACTTCAATGTATCATATTGGGAATGCTCCATTCAGGTTGCTGCCACCTCCTTCAAGGACTCAAATTTACGTGGGATGTCTATGTGAATGTTTCAACGAGCAGCGTTAGTTTCTTTCATTTTCCAAATCCCAACTTCGTTGCATTGGGATTTTAAGAATCATCCATGTTGTTGGTTGGATTATACTATTATATTTGATTTCATAGGAGACATATTTGAAAGTGTTGCATCTTATGTCTCTTCTTAGGTACGGATCACAATTGCTAGCAGCATGCAAGTTGCATGAAGGCATATTTCAACCTACTTAAAAATTCATTTCATATGTATATCTAATAATTAAAAAATCAAAATAGATCCAAAGTTGATATATAACTTTCTTTATATGTGCAAGTTGCACTCTCATATCCTGGATGAAGTAATGCATATAATTTAATTTAAAAATCAATTTAAACAATTTTAACTGCTATAAATTAATTTTAAAAAAATCATAAACTAAAAAGTTGTTAATCGATAAAATAAAAATTATAAAAACAATAATTTTTATGCAATTTGGTTTAATTTTTGCTCTCATATTTAAAATCAAATTAATTTAACAGAAAACATATAAATTTATATTATTTT